GATGATATTTACAATTATATATTTTAATATTTTTTATCTGAACATTGCTTCAGAAACACTATAATAAAACAGTAAGAAGCATATTTATTGTATATTTATTTATTCTGCAAAACTTTTTAGAAAGGTTTCATTTTTTTACATTATGTAACATAGGTTAGCAAATAATTCTAACACATTTGTTAATCTTATTTAATGTTAATTTCAACATTTACATTAATCAAAATTTGTATCTGTAAATATTATTTAATGGACCTGAGCTTACATGAACTAACAATGAATAGTTGTATTTGTATTAACCAAACTGAAAGATTAATAAATACAGTAATGCTTATATAATGCATTATCTGATGTGAACTAATGGGACTTTACTGTAAAGTTTTGTAATTTCTTCTCTCTCGCTCTCTCTCTTGTGTCTGGGTATCATCAACTTTACACTTTGATAGTCTGTACATCAGATTTCTACATCACTTCTACAGTTGAACTCTATTTATTCTCTGTATGTAATTAATATCTCACCTCGTCTGTGAATCATCAGAATGAATCTCTGCAGGTCTGTCTGAATCATGACAAACTAGAAATCCCAAACACAAACAAATAATTATCTTTATACAGTCCATATGTTGCGATTTGTTCATTTTTAGGACTAATTTCACTAGTGCTGCACAATTGTTCACCAATATTTTAGCATTAAGATTGTCTGATTCTGAACACTGATATTTATTTTTAAATGATCATCAAACTGCTTTAAGCTCAATACCTTTAAAGATTTTTGAGTGTCTGCAGCAAAAAAAAAATATACCACACTCTAAAGTTTCAGACAATTTACTAACAATTCAATTAAAAATCAGTTATGATTAGTTTTTCTGTTGTTTCTCTCAAAGATCACTGTTGTGATAAATCATCTTTTTTTTTTTACAGTGTGTAAATAAACACGTCTCTATCAAATATAGTCTGAATTGTATTCATGTCTTTATTTTCTGATTATTTTTTTAATGTCTCTTGAAAGTGGACACCTTACAATTGATACACTTTTTTATATTTGTATCCAGATCCAATCGACACACTCTAAAAAATGCTGGGTTGTTTCAACCCAACTTTGGGTCAAATATGGACTAACCCAACTGTTGGGTTACATTTTTAAATTACATTTTTAACCGAAAAGTTGGGTTAGTCCATATTTGACCCAAAGTTGGGTTGAAACAACCCAGCATTTTTTTCTAAGAAACACTGGAGGAACTGCAGAAGGAAAAAAAGAGAGATCTACTCCTGTTCAGGTTACAGCAAAGCTAAAACAGCCATGCCCCACACAATTAGAGAAAATCTGTGCTTATGTTGCCAAAGGCGTGATAAACTGACATCCTCAGCCAGCTAATAAGCAGAATAAAAACAGTCAGTTCTTCTCACTGTACGTCAGTGAGTCTATCGATCTAGTGTAAGTCTGTTATTTATTTGTGAACACTGTCCATGAAGTTTTTTTGTTTTGCTGTCTCTTAGCCACACGTTCAACAGGGAAGCATCCACCGAGAATCCAATGAAAAACATGCCACAGGAACTTTTGTCTTTACTTGATGATGTTGTAAAAAATGTCAACTTCATCAGAGCTCAACTGTTAAATTTACAGATTCTTTACACCATATGAAATGGGCAGCGAATGAAAAAACCCTGCTAGTGCACACAGAAAGGTGCAGTAGTTATCACGTGAAAAGGTCTTAACAAGAGCTCAGATGTGAAGTTTTTTTGTTAATAACCCATTTCACTTGTCTTCTTAATTGTAAGTCGTCATCTGGCTTCAGAAGCTGGCATATCTGGCAGACATATTTTACGCTGAATGAAATTAATTTAAGCCTGCGGGGTGTTTTCAAAACCCAGAACAAAGCTGAAGCACTTAAAAAAAAAGGTAATTTTACGGTCCAACTGGATAAATACAAACTCCCCTGAGTGCACTGGTCTGAGAGAATGGAGCGGTTAAATGCTCCTAAAAGAGCTCTGTCTTCTTGAAAGATGTGATGGTTTCAGCAGTTGTTTATAAGCTGTTTAGCTGAACACTGATGATGTAATATGATTCAGACGCATCAGATGTGTGTGATGACAGACACTTTATGCTCCATGTGTGACATTATGATCCTCATTCAGCTGCAGATCTCTGATTCTCTCTTCTAGAAACTGAAACTGAAGGCCTCTGAGTTTGAAGATCTAGTTCTGCCATCTAGTGGACAAAATGATAACCGCTGTTAATATTCTATGTATTACGTTTCTTAAAAATAAAACATATTTACTTATGAATTTTGTGTTTATAATGCATTCAGTTCTATTTGATACAAGTGACATTCTTTCAGGTAAACGCAGTGAATTTCGTTCAGTTATCAACTCATGAATAATAATAATGATGGTGATTTTGCTTTTTATGTGAATTTTAAATATCAGAATTTCTAGCAAACAATCTTTGATCATCTTCTGCTCTAATGACTCTGTTGTGTTAAACAGTAGAAGTCTAGTGTAAAGTCTTGAGCTCTTGTGTTTGTGTTAAAGTCATTGATGAGCTGCTGATGTGAATCAGGTGTGTTTCATCACACATTTACATCTTCTTCAGCTCTGGGTCTCTAATTTAACCTTTAGAAGCTCTAGAAACAATATGACTGAAAACATCTGAAATCAGATATTCACTGAGCAGGTGCTTTGATTTACTTTGTAATCATTGAAAAGTTATGTTCTATATAGTATGAATGCAATTTATTTTCAATTAAATCATCTGTACAGAAATAATTGCCTTGTTTTACTAATTTCTGTAGCTTTAAAACAAGGAAAACACATTATAAATGAGATTCATTGTAATGCATTTATGACTGATATGTCACTTTACACATATTCTTCATTTAGGAGATGATGGAGATTTGCTTGATATGAAACATCCTCATCATCATCAGCTGCCAGATGAATGCAGAAAGAGTCTCTGGTAAGAACAGAAACGCTTCTCTTCATTTGCTGTGAATCTGGAGAAACAGAGAGATGTTGTGTGTGTGAAATGAGAGATGAGGCACATGAGAAAGCTGAGAATAAAAGTGATTCTTCAGTCAGAAACAGCATCAACACACAAAAGCAGAAGCACAGATGAAACACTGACAGATCCACATCAGTCTCTGTCCATGAACGCTTTATATCTCATCTGTCACTGTCTCTCTACCGGTTCATCTGCATCATAAGAGACTGCAGAAAATAAAGAAGGAAAGTGTGAGACATTTAATATGTCTAAAAATAACTATTTTTCTAGATGTGGTATGACCTAAAAGTCTATGATGTTAAAATACTCACAGTTTGGCCTTATAAATTTCACACTGCTTTGGTGACTTGTGAAACTTTTCCTTTTCTTTCCTTTGCTCTCCTGATTTTTGTTGTTCTGCTGCTTCTGAAGCTTCAAACCGGGATCATCACACTTCGTCATCTTCAGTCCAGAATGTCCTTTAATCTGTATTCTCTGCTCATAAAAACATATGCAATAACTTACTGCTATAAGAGTATCTACATTTTAAGAAATGTTTTATCGACATGTTTAACACAAGCAGACATGATCAAGTGTCAGTAGATAGTCTATTCTGATATGGGGCTAGTTGTCACACTTTTAACTCAGGCGAAGTCACTTTTGAAAGTGCATTTATGTATAAACTAGAAATTTTCATTCATGTCATTTACCCAGGAACACTGTATACAGTTCATCTGACACACGCTGACCCCTGGTGGAGTATGATATCACAAAAGGAACCTGATGCTGTTTATCAAATCAAATTATTAATCAAATTGGTAATCAATGCCCCCCTGGAAGAAATTTTGTACATTTTAAAGTTAAATTCTTCTATCTAATGCACTTTGAAGTTCAAAATTATATACTGTCTCAGACTACATTACATTCACACTGGTGTTTTAGGAATCCAAACTATTTACAATGTAATAATTTTATTTTATTATTATTATATTACAGCAATAGCCTTATATTACAAAACAATTGCACTGTAAAACAAATGAAAATGAATATTTCATAGGTATATTATTTTGCTTTACAATACAGTAGGGAAATTAAAAATGTTTTTCCTTATTTCTACACTTAAAAGAGATATTTTGAACTTGGACTGCAGTGCCCATTTAAACCACTAGCTGTCAATATTACAGACTATATGTTTGGTCTATATATGAGAAGTCTGTCTGTTGTGTGGGTATCACTGACTAAGAAAATAAATATGTTTATCATGTAAGTCATCTCAGGACAGTTGTCACACTGAATGCTTATTAATGTCTTCAATGTGAACATTAGCAGTTGCGAGTTACAGTGTGTGTGGTTTTGTGTCTAGAGTTATGGGACAATTGGCCAAAGATTAAGCAAACATGTCTCAAAAAAAAAAAAAAAAAAAAAGGCAATAATTTCAAGCAATCAGAACATTAACTGCAAGTGTCGAGACAGTGAGCCATC